AATTTCATAAATACATGAAAATCAAAAATACTGATATTTTTTTCATAGGAAGTAGGCAAATTTTATTTTATTTTTTTGGATTTTCTGTGCTTTTAATTGACTAATGAACACTACAAAATCGAGAAAGAGGAAACTGTGTCATTGGAAATGCGTTCAGTGCATTTGCATGTATATATAGTGTAGTCGGTTTGCAGATTTTTTTTTCATAGGAAGTCGGAATTTTTTTTTTTTTTGGATTTTCTGTGCTTTTTATTGACTAAAATATTGAACAGTACAAGTTCCCAACCAGTTCGTGTGTGAAAACGAGTGTGACAAATTGAAACAGTGATCCTTGGATTCCTCGTGTGCGCACGGGAAGTTTGATGCTCCCCGTGCGCGCACGGGGATTTTGATTAATTTTTCTGTCATTTTTGTTATTTTAAAACCTTCTCACCCGCGCACACTAAAATTGACTTTTCTTTTCCTTTTTTTTATCTCTATAATGCCCTTTTATTTTGATACACTAGGGATAAGAGAGAGAGAGTTAAATAAAATTGGAATATCAATTCCCAGGTATACACAAATAAAACTAAATTACATAGGTCGATATTGAAAATAGGGTATTAATAGGTGGATTTAGAATTTCAACAGATGCAACTTATACTTTAATTCAAAACAATTTTAAATAATTAGTAGAATAACTTAGATAAACAAAAAAAAAAAAAAAAATCTTTTGTTAAATTTACTTACGAATTTGATAATCGATCAATACAATTCAATTTAAGGTTTATTCCTCACGAGAAGATACTCTTTCTCACCAAACTATTATTTGTTAACAATCATGTACGATTGCGGCATTTATTCAAACAGAGATGCTCTAATAGCTACAACTTGCACTCAATATATATAATTATTTCCAATTTTTCAAAGAGACAAATTATTCATCTATATTAACAACATAATGTTACATTCTATGCAGTGAAATTGGTTTCTCCAATTCTATTTACTTTAGTTTATCAAATATGTCATGAATAATTGATATAAACACAACTTGATATGAGATTATTCTCTTGTAAAAACTGTCGATAATGAGTGCACAACAAAT